GACAACGAGGTCAACCCACTTTTATAAATCGAAAGGAGACTGCGACCATAACAGAGGCCACAACATCTTGATCTTCATATATTCAACTAAAAGCTATGGTTCATAAAATATCAATTAAGGCAAATACATAGAAATAAATTATACTTTTATATGCCTTTGGGACCTACAGGTCTGTTATGTTTAGAGCTTGATCTGAAAAGAGAAAGGAGATCTGTTTGCTGAATATATTTTACTCGAAATCTTTAACTCGTATAAATTACTAACCGTGAAAAGAGTTCTAGCTAGCAACAGTATTCACACTGGGACTGTCTAAGAAGTATCATTTATATTTTGACCTAATTCTGCTTAGTTATGCCATTAGGCAATCTTAAAAAGGACTCAGTGGGGAAACTTTTTTCCCCTCCAAATTACACAACTGCTACAACAAAAGTTGGTTTAAAATTCAGCTTTACAAGAAGCTACGACAATAAAGTAGGGCTAGGAGGTACACTAATTTTATGCATATACGATCAGATCAAGGACGAAAGAGATTTAAATCAGGCATTTCTATTATGGTCACGGGCTCTAGCAGGTTAATCCGCGTTAGATACAGATAGTCATGTCTTACCGTTCAAAGGTGTCCAGATCGAGGACAGAACAATTCTGCATGAGGCCAGCCAGGCTTGTGAAAAAGCCCACCAGCCGCTTGGCTTTTAGGAATTCGAGCATCCGACTCTGAACATCCGAGTTACCACCAAAGAGAAGGGCGATTCCGAGCTCGATACTAGCCTGCGCCACTGGAGAAGCTTCACCTAAAGTTTATGGTGAAATGAAAACGCACGAAAGTACATAATTGTGTGCATACGTGTGTATAATCGTGAATGTGCACTCGCATGTGGTTTGAAGGAGAACGAAAATTTCCGAGATTTCGGAGGATAGAGTGATAAAGATGACCGATCTGGTCTGTTCATGCATAAAACTGCCTTCCAAATAATGTATTGCTAAATGAGACACGCAACTCAAGACGACCTGGCAATA